CAAAATAGTTGGAAGAATTCTCCCAGTCATTAGCCTGTGAAATTACCCAGCCTATATTTCGGGGCACCTCACCTTCTGAAATGGCCCACACTCTAGCTGTGGAGTGTGTCTCTCAATGAATCAACTTCTTACCTATCACTCTGCCACTCACTGAATTCTTTCTGTGGTGAGACATAAAGAACCTGAGCTTCATTGAGTCCTGCGACCAGGTGTGTGATCTCCATATAAAAGACAGCGGGCTCGAGTCCGAATCTGGGTTATGTGGTTTCACAATCACCTTCATTTGAGGCAGGTGTTATTACCTCAAACTGTGGTTGTCAGCGACTCAAGGTCAAGGTAAGACTGGCTCAAGGTTTTCCTCAGCTTCAGTGGAAGTCCAATGTCCTAAAACTTCTATTTCCTGAGGGGCATCCATTTCAAAGTAACCTCTCACTCAGCCTCCACTGAAAACTTTTACTTGGCTGTATATCCTGAGATTTTTTTCCCCCATGTCTCCCTGGTAGATATCCATGTGAGAAAACCATGAAAATGTGCTACTAAATTTAATTCACACACACACAAACGGAAGATGTTATCCTCCCCTCGCCCGCCACCAATCACGGCACTCGTTGGAATGACCTGTACAGTGAGTACAGAGACTTAACATTAAGAAGTCATGCAGGAGAGAAACCAACCAAGGAGACTGAGAAAGAGGAAGAAGCAAGGTAGGAGGAAAGCAAGGAAACTGTGGGGTCTCGGAAGTAAAGGGGGAAGAGCTGTGTTGTAGGCCATGTTCAACGGCGCTGAATTCTGCAGACAGTTCAGAAGAGTCGAGGGTGGAGAAGTGACCAGTGAATGTGGTGAACTTACAAGAAGCATCAGATTGGAACCAGAAGTCCAAGTGGGATGGATCGACGACCAGGCAGGGAGAGAAAATGGAGACAGCATGGGAGGCAGATGTTTCAAGAAGTTTCACTGAGGGTGGGGACATGGAGGGAGATGTGGGATAAAGGGAACATTTTTTGAAAACTATATTTAGGGACTTCCCTGGTGGTCCAGTGGGTAAGACTCTGCTCCCAATGCAGGGGGCCCGGGTTCAATCCCTGGTCAGGGAACTAGATCCCACATGCCGCAACTAAGACCCGGCACAGCCAAATAAATAAAAATATATATATAAAAAAGAAAACTATATTTATATTCAGATGGGAATGGCTCAAAAGTGAGGGAGAAATAGACAAAGCAAGAGAGAGAAAGAGGGGAGAGAGAAAGGATAATTACAAAGGCTGAGTCGTTGAGTGGGAAGGAGAAGTTTGCCTTTGATGGGAGCAAATATACTTCGAAACAGCAGGAATGAAGAGAAGGGAGCAGATGCCGGGGACTGGTGATTTTGGGTGGGAGGGTGAGGGAGCTCCCGCCTCAGTTCTCCCTTAGTTCTCCACAAACACACACTCTGTGACAGCAGAGGCGTATCCTTCCGAGCTGTTGTTCAAGAAAATCCTTTTGAGTGAGTTTCCTCCCCTTCTCTTGTGGAAGATAAGGCTGGGAAGTGCAAAACCACAGAAAGTGGGTGTAACTGCTGTGTCTCCATCTGCTGGCTGCCAGTTATCTTCCCAGGAGACCAGGAGACAGAAGCCCTGTCCTTCCTGATGATCGTATTTCAAAGGAACGGCATTCAAGTCCTTGAGAAAGGCACGCCTGGGTTGTAAGAGGTACAGATCCATCTCAAGGGTTCAGAGAAAGGATTCACAGCTGTAAGCCCTTTTTAGTAAATGCCCTAAGAAACAGCAGTCGGGGCCCATGTCAGGTGTTGGCTATAACAAACAGTAAATTCTTTGGGCAGCCTTGTACTTTCTCAGGCAGGCCCTTAAGCGGGGGTTGGGGTCATCTTAGGGATGAGGCCTTGAGCTGTCAGAAACTGGTGGTGCAGTGGTTAAGAATCCACCTGCCAATGCAGGGGACACGGTTTCGAGCCCGGTCCAGGATGATCCCACATGCCACGGAGCAACTAAGCCCGTGCACCACAACTACTGAGGCCCACACGCCTAGAGCCTGTGCTGCACAACAAGAGAAGCCCGCCCCCGCTCGCCACAACTAGAGAAAGCCTGTGCGCAGCAACGAAGACCCAACGCAGCCAAAAAAAAAAAAAAAAGATAGTTGTTTAAAAAAAGAAAAAAGAAGCTGTTAGTGTTTGTACAAGTCTTTTAACGTGGCGGGAGAGTGGTAGGCAAAATCATTTGTGCTGAGGGTCTGTCGTTTTTCTAGGCCAAGGCTGAGGCCTAGTTGAGAAGAAAGCTCAAAGGGGCTTGGCTAGAGTTCGGTCAGGGAAAGAATCGTTGTCACTCTCCACCCACCAGGGTCACATCATCCTTTATCCTTTAACTAAATGGAGAAAACTTGCATGCTGTTTTCCTGCCTTATTCCAGCCAAGGTGAATTCTCTCTTCCGAACTCATAGCATCTATTGTAGCACTTCTCATATAGAAAGTTGTCATGTTGTACCTCTTGGCAAATTTTATTATCTTATTTCATCATGTACCTTCTCATGCTTGTCTCGGCTACCCGACTACATCACAATTTCCTATAGGAGCACTGGGCTAATATTGCCAACATCTTTTTACATTGTAGATTCTGTGTAGCACTTGGTCATTACAAACAGGAGGAACCCGTGAAAGAATGATATAGCCATAGGACATGACAAAAATTGGTGAGGACCAACTAGGTCCAACTAGGCAGAAGATTCAACTTCCAGTAGACCTCGAGCCTCCTACGCTCGTTGTAATACATTAGCAAGGTAAATGACACACCCACCAGCATCATGACAGTTCCGAGGCCGACCATAAAACGTTAAAAAGCGAGCAGTGGACCAGTTCCTGGAAAACCCCACCCCTTCCCCCAAATAGTTGGAACAATCCTCCCGTTCATTAGCCTATGAAATTACCCAGCCCATATTTCGGGCGCTCTCGCCTTCTGAGATGGCCCACACTCTGTCCGTGGAGGGTGTATCTCTCTGAATAAATTAACTTCTTAGGCATCACTTTGCCACTCACTGAATTCTTTCTGTGATGAGACATAAAGAACCTGAGCTTCATTAAGTCCTGAGACCAGGCGTGTGATCTCAAAAGATCCTGGGTTCAAGTCCCAATTTGGGTTTTGGCTGGGTTCCAGTCCTGGCACATGGGTTCAAGTCCTAATATGAGGTCCACGGTTTCAATTAGACTCAATCCAGGTCACAGGGCACCCACGTACCTTTATTCATTCCAAAAAATTGTAATGGTGGCCACCTTATGCATATTGTTTTCCACATACTAGAGAGCTGAAATACACATTGACCTTGAAGCTTTAAAAATTTAACCCTTCAGAACCTGGTCTGTAAGACAATATTAGGTGTGTGTCAGCATATATACAACTTAAAGTTTGTTATTTAAGAATCCCTCAAAGGTGAACAACCACAGGCTCATTCTTAGGATATATTAAGGAGTCATAACTCACATCCACTAGGATAGCTATAATCAAAAAGTTAGATAATAACAAGTGTTGCCAAGGATGTGAAGAAATTGGAATCCTTATACACTGCTGGTGGAAATGGAACTCCTAGGTGTGTAGTCAACAGAAATGAAAACATATGTCCATACAAAAACTTGTACATGAATGTTCATAGTATTATTCATAACAGCCAAATGGTGTAAACAACTGAAGTGTTCATCAACTGCTGAATGGATAAACAAAATGTGGTAAATCCATACAATGGAGTATTATTCAGCCATGAAAAGGAATGACGTACCGTTACCCGAAAACTGGGTTCACCTCTTGGTGGGTGTAGAGGCAAAAGACACAACCAAGCCAAAGACTGGGAGAAGAAAGGGTTTATTATGACTTGCAGTGAATAAGGAGAACACTGCGAGCGTTTCCTAAAGCAGTGTCTCTCCAAACAACAAAATTAGGGAAGTCCTATGCTATGGGTACATGCATATTCATGAAGGGGCTTGGCAGTAGGCAGAGTCCAAATTTTAGTTGATTGAAGTCGAGGGTCAGAAAAGGTCACCGTCATCATCCCTTAGATTCCACTTGATCTGGTGGTTGGGCACCAGAGGTGGGATTTAAATTCTGCAAAACGGCTCAAGGCAGTGTTTTAAGCTAGTCTTTACCATTGAAATAGAACTGGGAGTCTTTACAACTGATTTGTTATCTTTGCTGTTGTCGCTTCTCCTGCCTGATAAGTTTGTCCTTTTATTCTCTTAAGTTCATTATTACTGAGACCGGTTCAAGGACAAGCATTGTGTCCAGGCTTAGATCACAAAATGGCTTAGGCTTATGTCAAGAAAGCCATGCCTGGTTCACTTTCTCTGTGGACCCCCTAACCCTATCTGTTTACAGTATTGAGAGGAACCTTGAAGACATTATGCTAAATGAAAGAAGCCAGACATAAAAGGCTATATAATCTATAATTGCATTTTATGAGATGTCCAGAATAGGCAAATTCCTAGAGACTAAGTTGGTTAGTGTTTGATGGGGTTGGGAGGCTTGCAGGGATAACTAAAGGGTATCGGTGGGTGGGTTTCTTCAGGTGGTGCAAATGTTCCAAAACTACGCTGACAAACCCAAGTTCGCGGGCCTGACGCACCGTAAGGCCGCGCAAACTGTAAACGTGAGAGTCTGGGGCAGAGAAAGGCTAACTGCAGGGGCCAGCCGAGAAGAACCGATGGCCCATGCACAAACGACCTGAACTCCCTGGGTGGTTTTCAGGGAAGGGTTTTTATAGGCGAAATTTGGGGTGAGCGACGCAGGGTGTGTGACTTATCTGATTGGTTGGTGGAGGTCACAGGGCGGAGCTCCAGGAACCCTGGGCTCAGCCTGAAGTTACCATCCTCCACCTGGTTGGGGGCCTTAGTTCCTATAGGATTCTGAGCTCAGAGCTAGCTTATGTGTTTCCCTTAAGGAGGAACTAGGGCTTTGCTTTGTAGAAGCGCTATTGTTTGACTGCTATTCCTTTGTTTCTGCCATCCCTCACTTCCCTGATTAGTAGCTGTTTGAATCTGCCCTTTGCAACGCAGGGAAGGCCTAGGAGACCAAAGCCTTTTTCTTCAAACAAAAAACAAGGAGCACGACAAGGCTCTGGTACCCAGGATCCTCCAGCCCCGTGGGTCCTGCTTAGTTTCAGCTCTAATGATAATTGGACATACCTGTGAATATACTAAACACCACTGAATGCTACACTATAAACAGCTGAATTATTTGGCATGTGAGTTATATAAAGCTGTTAAGAAAAAGAGAAAGTCATGTGACTAATTATTTCAATTACCAAGAGATAAAAGGCCCAAATGTTATTCGGAACCCCTGTGGCCAACAAATTGGCAGAGATCACGGGCTGTCTTCCGTCTTCAAGCGTAAAGTAGCGAAACGGAGCTGCGGGGTAGCTGGTGAAGCAGCGGACGTTTGGGGTCTAAGGAGAGACCCTAGGCCGGCCTCTGTGTCCCGGGCACCCGGCGGCTGAGCTCGGGGCGCCTCGGGTGACTGCGCGCCCCTCCTCCGGCCTGAGTCACGGCGCCCCGAGTCCCCACGCCGAGAGGATGCGGCGGTGAGCGCTGCCGGACGCCGGGCGCAGCGTGGGCTCCGGGACGCCAGCGCCGCCGCTCGGGACGCCAGGCCGCAGGCGTGCTCTCCCTGCCGGGCCTCGCAGGCCGGCTGCCGGGCCCGCCTCCGCGGCTCCCCGACCTCCTCGGCCGGCGGCGCAGCGGAGCGGCGGAGGAGTCCGAGCCGGAGCCGGAGCCGCGCGCGCCCCGCCCGCCCGCGCCGCCCTTCCTCCCTCCCTCCATGGCGTTTATCCGGAAGAAGCGGCGCGAGCAGCAGCTGCAGCTCTACTCCAAGGAGAGGTGAGCGCCCGGCCCCGGGGAAGAGCCGAGCCGCGGGCGGAGGCCGGGCCCGCTGGGGGCCCGAGGCCGCGGGGGCAGCAGCGGGAGCCGGAGCGGGGCCCATCCCGCGGCGGAGCCGAGCGCAGGCGGAGCCCGGCCGGCCACGCGGGTCCCGCCGCCGCGGCGCGGCTCACCCGGAAGGGGCCGCGCAGGGGTGGGGGGGGCGTGGGGTGTAAGTGGGCTCGGCGGACCCCCGACGCCCACCCCCCAGGCCCCAGGCGTCGGGTCCCAGCGCTCGGCCCCCTGCCGCCGGCTTGTACTCTCGGGCGGCACCGCGCGGCTCGGGGACCCCCCGCCTGCGGGGTAGACGCAGGTGCCCCCCATCACCGCGCCTTGTTACCGCGGACTTGAGCCCTCAAGCAAATGCCTGGGCAGATCCCTGCCCTCCTGGGCTGGGAGACAGCCTCTGAGGGAGGCCTGATTCTGAGAAAAGCCCGGGTCCAGCCCGCCAGACGTTGTCTGCCGAGCAGTGGACCTTATTGTAAGTGCCTGTGAAGGCTCTGAACTCCTGAGCGCTGAGGCACGACAGTCATGGTCACCGGCATCCCGGTGAGGATTTGGGGTCCCACGAGCAAAGGCTGAAATGGCCCCGAAGCAGTTGTGGTTCAAGAGTTTCTGATCGTCAGCCTCCAAGGGAAGAAGTCCCTTATGAGAAAGCTCACTTCTTCTAAGTAGACTTCCAGTGCATTTCTAGTGAGACAGCTTGCTGGTCCTTGGGTCTGTGGTCCCAGGTGCCAAAAGGAGCTGGGAATGAGTCATTTTACACGGAGTGTTTTGGATGTGGGAGCCAGTTATCTCGGAGTGCTGCTAGCCTGCCCTGGTGTTGTGTGATCAGTGGGGACCAACGAAGCAGATTGTACATGAGATAACAAGTGCAGACTTTAAGGCTTGTGCGATCTTGCAGCGCCCACACTTCTTTGTATGGGGATTGACTGGACCCCGGTGCAAACATTCATACCCTTTTCTCATCTCTAATGTTGGCCTCTGCCAGGATATGCATAGCCTGGAATTTCATTTTCCACTGTAGAGAAGAAGATATACCAAAAAAACGTATCTTGGATAGGGCTTCCAAGAACGATTTTGGTAGCGTGATTAGGCTTTATCCACAGACAGGCTCGTTTATTGAGTAGTGATAACTGGATCCTGAATAAAGTAAGTCACTCTTGTAAGAGGCTTTTGGGACTTCGTTTGTAATGCTTGTTTCATGTGGAGAGAGCGTGAATAGTTTCTTTGTTCAGTACCAACAACATTAAGACTTGGTATTCTGTATTAAATAGATGAATGTTCACATTTACATTGTAAGAACTTTGAAACACTTGAATTGCCATCATGTTCTATGATCTAGGAGTCATTTGTAACAATTCTATGGCTTCTTTGATATACAGGGAATCCTGCTTTCTTTACCTGCCAGTTATTTCTACGACAGTAATTTGTGTTTAATTGGGTTAGCTTGTGCAGCTCTACAGCGTCACACCAATCTTAAAGTCCGCCCTGGCATTTCTGTGTATAAGCTGCTTTGTTGGTATCCATTGATCGGGCAGCGTGACAGGCTAGCAGCCCTCAGGGATGACTGTAGCTCTCACAACAAAATAATTATTCATCAGTCAGGAGGCAGCAACTGTTCTTAAGCATCGGTAATCAGAAAAAGTCAGTGCTACATATTTTTATTTGAATCCTACTTCCTGACTGCCCAAATTCTCTAACGCCCTGCCCCGTGGCTTTGCAACCTTGGGTTGATGGGTACACTAACCAGGATGGTGTTCCTAGAATAGCAGTTTAAATGACAGGAATATGTCTCACAATCAAGCAGTCTCTTTCTAAATCTTAGAATTAATTCTCTCTGAAAGACAAGAGTATTTTATTTTATTTTAAAATATTTATTTGGTGGGTTTTTTTTTTTTTTTTTTTTTTGCTGCATTGGGTCTTAGTTGCATCACATGGGATCTTTCGTTGCAGTGGGCTCTTTGTTGCAGCGCGCGGGCTTCTCTCTAGTTGTGGCGCGTGGGCTCCGGAGCGCATGAGCTCTGTAGTTAAGGCGCATGGGCTCTCTTGTTGTAGTGCAAGGGCTCAGTAGTGCCACGGCATGCAGGATCTTAGTTCCCTGACCAGGGATCGAACCCACGTACCCTGCATTGCAAGATGGATTCTTAACACTGGACCACCAGGGAAGTCCCAAGATGAATATTTTAAACCAACTTTATTGAGCCCCAAATTTACCTTGGCTGCACAGGTTTTTTCCCTTAGCTTATCTCTTTGTGGCAATAAACACCATTTAGCAAAATGATTGACAGGTCATTGACTCCAGCATACCCAAGAGAACTGTTACTTTCCTTGGAACTGTTTCAGAGGTCACCATGAAAGCCTCACCTCTTCAGAGTTGCAGTTTCATTGGTCCCTGTCACGCTGCTTTAGAGATTTGAGATTTCTACTGCGACCCAATAATCATCCAGAAAGGAGAAACTTGAAGTTAGCATCAGCTTCACACTAAGAGAAATAAATGCTGATATATTTAGAATAAGTGATATTTCTACAAAAGTAGAAGCAGAGAGGCTGTTGGGAGATTCTTAGATTGGTGGCTTAGACCAAGGTGGTGGCAGAAGAAATGGAGAAAAATGGATGGATTTTATTTTTATTTTTTTATTTATTTTTGGCTGTGTTGGGTCTTCGTTGCTGCACACGGGCTTTCTCTAGTTGTGGCGAGCGGGGGCTACTCTTTGTTGCGGTGTGCGGGCTTCTCATTGCGGTGGCTTCTCGTTGCAGAGCACGGGCTCCAGGCGCGGGGGCTTCAGTAGGTGTAGCACATGGGCTCAGTAGTTGTGGCACGTGGGCTCTAGAGCGCAGGCTCCGTAGTTGTGGCGCACGGGCTTAGTTGCTCCGCGGCATGTGGGATCTTCCTGGACCAGGGCTCAAACCGTGTCCCCTGCATCGGCAGGCGGATTCTTAACCACTGCGCCACCAGGGAAGCCCATGTGGATGGATTTTAGATGTTTTTAGGAAGTAGCATTGATAGGTCTTGGCGGCGGAGTGGACTGCACGTAGAAGGTAATAGAGGAAGAATCCCAGCTGAGAGTTCTCAGATAAAATACAGGATGCCCAGTTAAACTTGAATTTCAGATGAACAGTGAGAAACCTTTTATATAAGTATGTCCCATGTGATATTTGGTACGTACTTATACTAAAAAATGTTTGTAATTTATCTGAAATTCCAGTTTAACTAGGTGTCCTGTATTTTTACTTGCTAAACCTAGCAGTCCTACTCTCAGGTTTCTGATTTAAACGACTATACAGTGGTATCATTTATTGGTGATGCTGTAAAGAAATGCTCTGGGTAGTTTTCAGTATTAGAAAACAAGAGGTACTGGCTATTCAGATTAAGTACGGTGTTATCCCGCTTAAGACTTAGTGGGAAGGAGCCATGTTGCTCTTACTGGTGTTCTAAAATGTCCATTGCAGGTGTTAAGATAAATGCAAACAAATCTAAAAAGACAATTCACATAGCTTCCCTTGGAATTGTCGGGAAAGGCAGATGTGTGCAGTGGGCTAGCATACGAGGGTATTCTACAAACAGCTGCTACTTAAGATATTTCTATTTCAAGATTTAGGAGTAAGCTAATTGTATATTTTTACGTTCACATCTAGGAGTGGTGTGGGGGAACCACAGCTGTTTTCTTTTTGAATGATATAGAAATTGAGATAGTTGAGGCATGTTCCCACTGGAAGAGAGTCAGTTTTCTAAGTGTCACAGAACAAATTGCTTAGCTGTGGCTTGTAAGTTGTCATTCCAGGATAAAACGTTGACGATTACAAGTTCTGTATTGGGCTCACATATTGCATTAATCGTTTTACAGGCATTCCTTAGACTTCCTCTTTGCTTCAAACATGCCACGTGTGGATAATTCTCTTGCTTATGCTGATATTAAATTTCTTGGGTGATATTAAATGTCTTTTACTTAATAGGTTTATTTTGTCAATTGGTTCTGTGTTTGTTACACTGAAAGTACTTGCTGAGGTGGCAAAGTGATTTGCTAGACTCTGGTTTAATCTTTCCTTTTTAAGACTGGTCATCCTATTCCTTGAATACCTCTCTGGGATTTGCCAGGTGTCGAAAATGGAGGTAAACTGCAGAATCAGCGCTCAGTTAGTCAGGACTGCTGATGGGCTGAGAGAAATCGACATAAGTCCTATTTCTTTACATCATAGTTACTTTTCTTACATAACAAAAAAACAGTGAAAGTGGAAATAAATGTTGCTAATTTTTTGATTAACTTAGAATTTATACTGGCTTTACCCAAAATGCGTTACTAGCCTATCATCTTATTCCCTTATTACTGTCTCAAATTAGCATCTTCCAAAATGGCTACCATTTAAGAAGACACCAGAATCTCCCATAAATGGATTCTGAGTGTGTTGGCTGTATGGTTTTTCAAATGTGATATAAAATGGGCATTTAAGGAATTCATCGCTGGGTTTTTTCCTAAATGCCACTGTGATTTCGTCTTTTTCTCATCAGATATTTAACATTTCCAACTCATGGATTTTGCAAGTTATCTTTTTGTTTTTTTAATTTTTTAACGTGTGTTCAGTGAATGGGGTCTGTATAATACTAATACTTTGAAGTTTTGTATTATGACTTAGTATGTAGTCAATCTTCACAAATGTTTGATGTGAGGTGGAAAATAGATGTATATTAATATTGGTACAGGATTCTGTATATATATCTATTACGTTAAGCTTGTTAGTTATTTAGATCTTGAATGAATTTTTTCTGATTGAGAGAGGGTTCGTGATGCTAACTTCACCTTGTATTTCTATCAATTTCTGCTATAACTATTTTCAGGGTATGTTATTAAGTCTATTTAAACTTAGAATTGATGTCTTAGCAGATTGAATCTTTCATCAATGGATAGTGACTCCTTATTCCTAGTAATGATTCTTTTTCTATTTTGTCTGATATTAATATA